GTGTAACTAATTGTTTTCCTAAAACTGCTTTGATAAGTTCTGCAGTTTTAGGTCTATTATTTGCATTCCATAGCTTAGTACATTTAGCTATTGCAGGATGATGAATTTTAGAAATGTTAGGAGAATCCTTAATAGCTCTCTCGACATCTGTTGTGGCAATTAGACTTATCGTATGGCACAAACAACGAATGTGTTGAGGCAATGTTATTGAGGCTTCTTTAGACCCTTAAACAAACAAATAAATAATTTTATTTGAATAAAATTTTTTACTAAATTCACAATATCATAATAAATTTAAAGAAGTATTAAATAATACTTTCAATGATTTCGAATTCTATACATTCATCATCATTGATGTCAAAGTCATTCTCTACAGCTTCCATAGAATATCCAAACTCCTTGAAAGCTTTCTTAAAGTTAAAGCCGTTATCTGTAACAGTTGCTATAACTTTTTCGTCAATACCAAAGTCACGATGAATTTCTTTATTATGATCATCTTGAAGTACTTCAAAAAATTTGCCATTAAGTATGCTTAGTTTAAATTTATTGTTATAATTTTCGGTTGAAGAATCATCTGAAGATGAAGATAAACATATTATTCTATTTTCTTCTTCATAATTTTAAAATAGACAGATATAAAACGATTCAAATATGGTAGTTCTAATTGTTAGCAAATTGCTATATGACGACCAACGTCATATATCAAAAATTATCTTAAAATATCTAAATTTTGATTTAATTTTTCATTTAAATCTTAAAACAATATCATTTAAAATTTTAATACTATTTAAATTAACCAATATAAATTTTTTTTAAAGTATCTGTATCTTTTTAATACAAAGTTGGTTAAGATACAAATACTTTTAAATAATATGTATCTTAGATACAAATATTCGCGATACTGCCCAACCCTGGATATAAATATGTTAATATAAACTTTTATAATAATTTCGATAAAATAATAAATTCATAAAAAATATAATTAAGATTTATCAAATCATTCTATTTGTTCCTCTACAAATGATGGCATCTTTTTAGGGCATAAAAGAGTTAACATTAAAATCATTAATACAAATCAATTATGAGAATTACTTAATTAATTAGTTGTCCCCGTAACCTAACTCCAAATAGCTTTTCATGTAATTGTAAAAGTTAGTAAAATCATAAGGAATAAATTCATATAAAATTTGAATAATATTCTCAACAATTTCATCTCGGGTGGGCATTGATTTATCGCTATTTATTTTTCAAGACTCAAAAATTTTTTTGGTGGGATTTAGCTGAGGAGAATATGATGGTAGGTATCCAATTCCACCTTTATAAGCATTGATGGCTTCTATGGATGGATGTATTCTCCCTTACAATGATTGCACCCGGTGGTAAGATACTAATAAGCTCTGTCATAAGATCAAGGAATAATATCCCATAATAAGCTCCTTCGATTATTTTATAATGGATTACCCTTTCAATTCCAATTGTAAAAAGTATGCTTACATTTTTATCCTTGAGGATGGAATTTTTATTATTAAACGGACATTGTATGGCGCCCAGGTGTAAATTGGTACAACATGCAAATTTATTTCAGTTTTATCTAAGAAATATAACATTTCTCTTGGATTATTTAAAATCTTTACACAATATATTTAACAAATATTAATTATCCCGGGGTATTTCTTCCATCAGGCTCATTGTCAGCTATTTTTTTAGACCAATATATAGTTTTTTTATATAATTATTATATAAAAGACTCTTTTCTTAATTCCTCTATTTTTCTTTGTTTCAATATTTGTGTATTTTGGTCTTGGAAAGACAAAGATTGGGAGTTTTCATTGTTTAATGTGGGAAAATTAGTATTCCTATTGAATAATGAAAATTCTATATAACATTTTATTAAAAATTACTATAGAAAAATTTAAAAGAATTTATAAATATTTTAACACATTTTTTTATTTTAAATTTCCAAGATAATTTCTTTTTGTATTTAAACATGACGTTTAATCTTAACTTATTGCTTGTCTATATTTAATTTCAATTTGCATTAAATTAAAATCTTACTTTGTTTACTGCCGTTTATTGTATATTTAATAATGAACTCATTTCACTAATATAAGATTTTTACATCAAAAAAAGTAATAAAAAATTTTACCAGAAAAGAGTATGATATAATCGTTATTAAAAAATTTGTTTATAGTTTATCTACTAAATTTTATCAATGGTGATATATTAATATATATTTAGATAAATCTTTAACGCTATTTGTATATTATCTAAATACTACAAGTAAATATTTATAGTAATAAACAAAACTATGCGACTGTAACTTGTTATTATTACTTAATAAATTAATTGTATTTTTAATAATATATTATTTATTTTTAAATATATATAGTTAAAATTTTTATTTTCATAAATTATTTCGAATTCAATTATATCAATATCCACATTTCCGTTTTACTTATGAACCAAAAGAAGTTTTCAAGTAATTTTTAATATATTATTATTAACCCTTTAAAATTGGGCAATAGGCTAAATTCTTTTAGTCTTTTAATATTTCTAAGGGTATAATAATTGCTTGTTAATCACAATATCATATTATTTGATAATTGTTTCATGCCTTGCAAATAATTAAATTTAATTTTTTAACAATTCTTATATAATTTTTTTTAATATTAGATTTGGTCAAATAAATTACCACCAGTATTAAAATTACATAATTTTTATATATGATTCAGAATAAATAAAAGTTTATATTTATTGACTTGCTTTATATTTTAAATATAACTATTTAGCCTATTATATATCTGATGTTCTTGGAATGCTTATTGCAATTTTTAAATAAGTTATCCCAATACCCATTTTTTTGGAAAATACAATTGATATAAAAATTAAGCAAATCTTAATTAAAATAAAATTAGAAATTATTTGTTACTAAAATATTAAGATAAGAATATGATTCTAGAAGTAAATTTAATTAAGATTTTCTTTGGCATAAAATTTATTAAAAGTAAATGTAAATTATTATACTTGATCCTCATATATATTTAATTTATAATTCATTAAATTATTTTGTTATGTTTTCTTAACATTGAAAAAATAATGTCATATGTATTTTTGAATTGAATTAATTTAATAATATATTTAAATAGATAATATAACAATCCATAATATCCATCTTTATAATTATTTTTTTTAATATAACGTTAATAGCCGTCCAAAATAATGTAGAATCAGAGTTTTCTTTTTTTTGATGCATATCAGAAATTAAGCCTATTTTATGAGTTGTTAATCAGAAATTAACCTTTATTTTGATGAGTAATAATTCTGAAATTTTTATTATTATAAATATGGTAATAAAGTATTTATTTAATATCTATAAATAATTGGAACATTTGTGAATATACCTTTTTAATTAAATTAGTTTTATAATATGAAGAAATTGTATTTATGGACTATAAAATATTAGTGATTTACTAAGAAATTTAATTTTTCTAGGTGTTTTGCATAACTTATACAAATGTATAAAAAAGTTACTGAACCTTTTTTAAATAGTGCACATAGTTAAATGTACAAAATATATACTTCAATAATATTTTATAATAATTCAGGAAAATAAAGACATTCTTAATCACTTTTCATAAAATAGGAAAATTTATAATTCATCCATCAAATAAAGGAGAAAATTATAATTACAAAGTGTTGTCAAAAAGTCTGATTGGGTTTATAAAATTACCAATTAAAATTTTAGCCAAAACATGTGTAACCCTTAAAATTTTTCTTGTAGTACTATATATTTTTCAAAAAATAATGTTTGGAATGAACTTGTCAAAATATAGATATATTTCTGAATTATACTTCATAAGATAGATTAATTTTTATACATTCATTATCAAATAAAAGAGAAATTTATGACTCCCTATCATTTTTGATGGGTTATCTCTTAATTTATTTATAAATTTAACCCACCCCCTTCATTCTCAATTAAGTTTACTTTAAATAAAAAAATTTTTGCTTTCATTTAAAATTTTAAGTCCAAAAATAATTTGCATATTTTTATAGATGTACCAAATAATGAAGTTGGAGAAATGAGGGATAATAAACGTTCTTAGTTTAGTTTTTATAAATATCTTTTTTAAATATGTTTATAATAAATTATAACTTATTTTTTTGATAGCAAATTCTTAAAAGATTCCTAAAATATATATAAATTTAAGGTATAGTCACAGTATTTTTTTTATTTATTTCAAAATAGTCATATTAATATTTAATATATTTCAGAATATATGAGATATGCTTTTCTATAGAAGAATAAAATATATTGTTATATTCATTAGATCTAGGGCTACGAGACTGCTCTTTTGAGATGTCAAAAAACATGTGCAGTATCTATTTTTATTTATCCTATTTTTTTAAAATAAGTTTATTTTATTATAAGAATAATGTTTTTATAATTGCATCAAAATATGTGTTGATTGTTATATATTTTTTATGTATTCTCCTTTTATGTGTTAATAAGCTTGATTTTAAATATCTTTTTTATTGCTCATAAATATGATGGCTTTCTTTATTCTTTTGTGTACAACAATTTCTTAAAATGATTGAAACATTATAATCATACTTTCAATTACCAATTATCAGAAATTTTTTTGAAAATGATTTAAATAAAGCATAACAGTGGTTTGAACCAGGGATCCGAAACGAATATCGGTTTTTGGTTTGTAAAAAATTAAAATATCGGTTTGGTTTGTAAAAAATTAAAATATCGGTTCAGTTTGAACCCCTAAGAACTGGTTTGAAAACTTTTGTATCCAAACCTACATTTGAATTATGTATAGGGCAAATATTTTTTTTATTTTATCATTAATTTAAAAACACATGTATAAAACCTTCATTTATATTAATTGCACATTGTAAAATATTTAATTTTAATATGAACAATATTTTACTTTTTTTTACTTGAATTTTTTTATTTAGCCGCACAATTAATATATTTTCAAAATTTGTCTTGCTCAAATTACATCTATAAGGAAATAGTATAAATTTAATTGTTGAATGCAAAGGATAAGGATCACAAACGATATAGCGCGAGGTGCGAGTCAGTAAAAATATATTTTATTAACTAACTTCTTTTTCTTTTCTTAAGGTATATATACATTTTTATAAGTCCAAATTAGAATACAAACGAAAAACAAAAAAGTAAAAATATTATAAAATATAAAAAGTAAGGTTACGCCGAAAGTTATAAAAATAAGGTTACGCAATAAAATTATAAAATTAAATTACAAAAAATAATATAAATTAGATTACAAAAAATTCAAATGCAAAAAACAAAAAGAATTAGATTATAACGCAACATTGAAAAACATCTTTCCATACTAACTTGGGTAGCCGGCACTGCCAATATGATATCAGGGTAACTCACTGAATCACCGGAAAATTTTTAACATTATTTTTATTTATTTATTTTTTTTAATTTAAAAAAATTTTTTTTTATCGGCACTGCTAATATGATATCAGGGTAACTCACTGAATCAGGGAAAAATTTTTAACATTATTTATTTATTTTTTTTAATTTAAAATTTTTTTTTTATTGTTTTGGTCTGGTAGAATGAAGTCATATTTTAATTTTAACAATTTAGCTATAAATTGTCTAATTTGTATTTTAATAATTTGAGCGATACAATTTTATAAAATTATAATAACTTAAAACTAGTGTTGTTAAAAAGTCGAGTTCACCCTACTCCGAGTCGAAGTCGCAATAACTAGACTCAAAACTCAAGTCGAGTTTTGAGTCGACTCATTTTTACGACTCGAGTTCCGAACTTGAGTCGTGAACTCAAGTCGCGACTCGAGTTCTGAACTTGAGTTTTTATCTTGAGTTTTGATCTTGAGTTATGAACTTGAGTCGTGAACTAGTCATAAACTCGAGTCGTGAACAGGTTATCTTAAATTTTATGAAACTTGATTACTTATATTAGTATTGTTAATTGGTTGGTTGTGTAATACCCAGACCTGGTGCTTGGCTCTAAAATGAGACAAAATCTGCTATGAGCACGAGGCCCTTGTATCTTAAATTATTTCTTATTGAACTTATTAGTTAAATATATGGTTATTTAATTAAAAGACCTATTGAATATGCAACAATTCAAGCGCCACTTTTCTATGAGTTAAGCTATTTCTACGTAAACGGAAATTTTAATAACATGAATAGAAAAAATAATTCCTAAAATTATATTTTGAAATAAAGAGGTTGCTCGTAGCATAAACTCCTTCCTATTCCTATACTTATGAACTAATATTTTCCTGATTTTATTATATTTAAAATCATAAAAAATATTTTTTTATTTTTATAAAAATATTAAATAATAAAATAAATGAAACAATGAATTTGTTGATCCAAATTTTTTTTTATTTATTCGATTTTTTCATTGTAATTATAAAATTTAACTCATACATATGATTTATAAAGATTTAAATAAATAAAATAAAAATAATTTCAAGTTGAAAAAATAAAACAATGAATTAGATGCAAAAAAAAATTTAAAAAATCCCCCACTCCTTAATTAGGTGCCAGATAGGCGATTTGGTTTTTTATTTTATAAAATTAATTTCTTTTTTTTTATTTAAGATTTTTTGAAATATTAAATAATTTTTTATAAAAAATTGTATAATATTGCCTACAAATTTTTAAAGGAGATGGAAATGGAAGTTAAATTTAGGGGAAATGTTACTAGAAACCTCTTTATTTCCAAACAGGATTAATTTTAGGAATTGATTTTTCCATTCATGTTATCAAATTTTCCGTTAAAAAGAATTTAAAAATCTTAAAACTTAATTTGGTATTCTAGCAGATATTTTTCTCTTAATATTGTACAAAGTTAAAAATAAAATGTTAAGATCTAGACATGCCCATTAAGTGCAATGCTAAAAAAAATTTTCACGAACAAATATGAGTAACCATATTTATTTTTTATCGGTCAAATTAATATACACCATATAAAGGTAGTTAAAACTATATTTATTTGATACCCATCCATTATCATATCAATACTTGATTTTGATAAAATTATTCCTGACCTACGTAGAAATAACTTCACTCATCGAGAAGTGGCGCTTGACTTTTTGCCTATTCAATAGGTATTTTAATTATCAATCGATTTATCTTTAATAACCATATATTTATATACTATAATAAGTTCAATAAGAAATAACTTAAATTAAAATATATGGGTCTGAACCACGGATCTGTGATCGGGGTTCGTGCTCATAGCAGATTTTTAGAGCCAACCAACCAATTAACACTATATAAGTAATCAAGTTTCATAATATTTAAGATAACCTGTTGAGTTCACGATTGAAATTCAAAACTCGAGTTCACGACTCAAGTTTAGTCTGGATCTTAACATTTTATTTTTAACTTTGTACAATATTAAGAGAAAAATATCTGCTAGATTACCAAATTAAGTTTTAAGATTTTTAAATTCTTTTTAACGGAAATTTTGATAATGAATGGAAAAAATCAATTCCTAAAATTAATCCTGTTTGGAAATAAAGAGGTTTCTAGTAACATTTCCCAAAACCGTTTGAAAAAAACGTTATATATGGAAATTATCTCATATAATTTTGCCTAAGCTCTTCCTGATTTAAATTGAGGTAATTAAGAGACAAATTCTGAGTATTAAGATGTTTAATTGATATATTTTTTTTAAAAACCAAGAATTTATGAACCCCAATATATTTTTATTCTCAAAAATTGTGTCCTGTCCTTCGGTATATCGCGTATGCCTTATTCACTAAAATTTATATACATTTTAAGAATTTTAGTAATTTATTAATTTCTTCAAAACAGTAACTAGTTCGAACTAGGGCCTGTCTATTAAAATAAATTATAACTAATATTTTTATTTTATTTATTTAAATCTTTATAAATCATATGAGTTAAATTTTATAATTACAATAAAAAAATCGAATAAATAAAAATATTTTTTAATATAAAAAAATATCGTCAGTTCAATCTTCATTTGCCAAATCTTTTTCTTCAGGAAAGCTTCAAAATAAATATAGAGATATATTGAAAGAATTAAAAAATCATTAAATTTTACCAATTTTTTAAGAGAGGGCAAGTAAAAGTCTTGTTTAAAATTTACAAAAATATTATTCGGACTAATTATATAAGTTAATATGGTCTAAACACAATCACAACAAAGTATGTAATAATATTTACACCAATAGATCTACGTCCCAACAACTCAGGCACAGGCATTCTTTGAGGGTTTCTGAAGCCATTCTATTCCTTTTTTTAGTCATACAATCAACAGCTTTACTGAAGGTCCTCTCACTTGCTACACTTGTAGATTGTTGAGCTAAATAGTCCCTAGCCATTAACGCCAAAGTGGGATATATGGTGGCGTTCTTTGCCCACCAATCCAAGATATTTGTCTTGGCGCAACGGGTTCCTTAAGATATTCCACGATCTCATCTCTCATGGGGTCTGGATTATCGATAGCATCTCTGAAAATAATTATAAAAATACAAGGTTAATTAAATTTCTAAGTATTTATATTTACTTTCGCAGCTTATTATGCATAATAACTGAGTAGGGTTGTGAATCAATGTGATCTGTAAATTCATATACCGTTGTTTGATATGTTGGCCAGGAATAAGCATTGTGTATTTGTTTAAATTCTTCGTCGTATTTATTATTTAAGATAGATTTTGGCATATATTTTTGTTTTGTTTTGGGATCTAGGAAGCTAGATATGTAATTTGTAAGGATACCAAATAAGCCTTCATAGGCTTTACATTTGGTCAGCATTAATTTAGCTGCCTTTTTGATATCATCATATGTGAATTAAATGTTTCATCTAAGAAATTCCCTATCGAAGCGACGAATAATAGTTGTATTTTCCGAATAAATTTCACAAGTAATCTTGAAAAATGGTTTAAGGAAGGTTTCAATTTCCTTTAAATATCTTTCCTCATTGATATTAAGATAAAATTCATCTTTGGGAAGACATTCTTCCCCTAATTGTTTAATAGCCTCTAAATTCTTTAAAATAAAATATATTATATAAATAACATTTAAGATTATGCTTAAATTACTTTATTTATTGTAGAAATCATGAGATACTTAGAATTCCACCTAGTTACCACGTCTAGTGGTAATCTTGTGCCTCCAGAAATTTCGAGATATTTTTGCATTAGCTTGGGCGAAAGGTGAAGTGATTTCACCAATTTGTGTATTTTTTTCAAATTTGGGATCAAAAATACTAAGCCCTTCTTTAACAATTAAATTTATAACATGCGCCAGTTTTTGAATTTCAAATGTTTCGAGAGATTTTAATAAATAATTTGCTATATCTTGCCCACTATGCGGATGAGGAAGTTCGATTAAATCTAAAAGATAGTTTTTAATTTTCCAATTATTTGTAATATAGTGTACAGTAATAGAACAGTAAGACATACTATTAATTCCTGTATAAATATCGGTTGAAAGCGAAATTTTACTTTGTATATTTTTTAATTTAGCTATTAGTTTTAATTTGGATGTTTCATACATCGAATGTAAATATACTTTAGCTGTTTGTCGTGTCCAAATTTTTTCATTTTTAAATATAAAAGCAAATATATCCCGGAATTCAATTGAGTCGAATATGTTAAATGCTAAATTATTTTTAATAATACATCTGAGTATTAGTTTATTTAATCTTTTGTTTTCTTCTGGTTGAAGTTTTCTTATGCCCGATAAATGCTTGGGCATTATTTCTTTAGTTTGGATAATGAATTTAGAGTGCGATATTTTTATATGATTTTTAAGGTTGGCTAAAAAATATTAAAAATTTTTAATATAGGATTTATATATTTGGTAATTTATTTTATATTAACCTATTAATCCTTCAATACTCTGGTGAAAAAAATCAAGTTAATACTCGGGTGGGGTTTAATAAACCCCAATTTCAAATGCATATATCTCCAGTTATATTCATTATTTAGATTTAATATTTGGATATAAGATAGAACTAACCTTAAACCTGATAAAATAATTATTTATTTTTATTTCTTAAGTTTAAATTAAAAATGATGAGGAGTAATATAATTTGTCCCAAAATTTTCTAAAAAAGCTAACTTTTTTTAAATTTAAAATATTAAATGAAAAAATTAACTTATATATCATATAATCATGATAATTCATAACTTGGATCTTTATTCTTCAATATAAAAAAAAATTACACTAATACATTCAAATATAAAAAAATATAGAACATACAAATTTACTCTGGTGGGGTCTCACAAACCCCAATCAGTCACAAAATGCTTATATCTTAAAAACTACTCAACCGAAATGTATGAAATTTGGAATATAGATTCTAAGATATATTTGATGAAGCTACTGAAAAATCCAGATAATAATAT